TTCCTAATATTGCTGTTTCTTAACTGGAAAGAATTGTAACCATAATAAAGAACCTTCAAACCTTCATTTTTCTTGATAAGTGACAAATGAAATAGCTTTTGCCTTTGACACAGAAGAGGGAACAGTGGTTGAAATGTGGTGCAATAAATCTTGTGATTCCTAATTTGTTTAAATGTGCAAGCAATGACATTATCCTTTGAAAAGTTATTTTAGTTCTGCATCTAGCATTTTAAGAAACTTGTGTGATCATATTGTAATCACTAAAACGGTGATATCAATGCAGAAAAGAATTATGTAACTGTCTTGCCAGGAGAATGAAGATCTTACAGAATAATTGTAAGCACRCTGTTTACAATGCTTCAGTAAATTCAGGCAGCTTAGAAAGTAAAAAACAAGTCTCTCGTGGACTTGTTTGATATAGGTTTATTTAAGAGAAGCATGCTGATAGCTGTAATGGCATGAGCATTTACATGAGCACCTTAATCACGAGCATCTCCTTTAATTTTCTTTGCTTGCAAAAAATTGCTGTGGAAGTAAGAAGTTTGGACAGAAGTACTCTTCTTTATTTTTCTGGACCAGTTCTAGATCCTGAATTGGAAGAGACAGACAAGGATCCTCAAATCCAACTCTTGGCCCTGCTTAGGACAATCCCAAGAATCAGATCATGTAGCTGGGACTGTTGTCTAAATGCTTCTTGAGCTCTGACAGGCTTGGTACCATGGCCAGTTCCCTGGGGAGCCTGTTCCAGTGCCTGGGGTTCCTATCCAGAGAGGCAGTTGCCAATTATGAAATAGCAGCCTATGAATATRGTAATCTTATTTCTTTTTCCGCTTATCATAATTTCTAATATACTGAATCAGTTTTATTCCTTAGTTTTGTCCTGTGTCATATACAGCATTAGGATAATAATCTGGTAACCGAGTAAGATAGTAGAGCTCTAGGAATTTACTGGCTTTATTTCAGTGTAACAATCCTATCCCATCCCTAAGAAGTAAATGATGGATGTGGAATGTCTACAAAATCTGTGCATTAAGCTGAAGTGGCTCCTTGTGGTCTCTTTGGAGTAAAGAAATTGCAAAACCTCGTGTATAGAAGTTTTCTTCATGTTTCTTTAAAAATGAAAAGCTTGTCTAATGTCAAGCATTAATACAGTCATGTAGAGCCAAAACACATGGTGGTACAAAAAAATTCTCTTATACTGTATCAGTTCAATACTTGCCATGTTTTTGATCAGACTTGAGAACCAGTTGTTTGATGTTTAAAAACACTTCAGCAAACGTACTTGAAAAGCTGTATTATTTGGTTTAAAACTTCTTGAGATAAGTGTTAGTCTTACTCCTTCATTGCTCTGCAAAATGTAGAACAGTGCTGAAAATATCCGGAAGATAAATGCAGCACCCTTATGCAAAATTTTATGTAGTTGGCCAGTGTTCCTATTAAGATATTCCCTCTAGTCCTCCAAATCCAACACTTGAACTTTGCCTATCACTTTATTTCCGAACAACCTTAATCATGAGCATCTCCTTTAATTTTCTTTGCTTGCAAAGAATTGCTATGGAAGTAGGAAGTTTGGACAGAAGTACTCTTCTTTATTTTCCTGGACCAGTTCTATAGAATTGTTATTAATTGTCTCTTTGTGTGAGTAAGAAAAGATGAGTGTRGCTGCAGGTTTTCTGGGTGTGGTTTCTGAAATATACCTGCAGGGTGTAATGTATGGAAGATGTGGACCTCCTGCATGAGATCCTTCAAGTTATCCATACTCATGGTGCTATGAAAAACAGCTCTGTTTTACTGGTGTTTGTCCTGGTAAAAGAGCATTGTTTGTCAGGCTGGCTGATGAAACAGTAACTGTGTCTTTTAGTGTGGATGAAAATCAAGGCACATTATAGTTTATCTTGGTGCATGGCATGGTGTCTGCACTGTTTCACATCATAGTCACACYTTTCAGTCATGTAATCTCTCCCCTTTTCCCAGATCACATTGTCCAACACTCTTTATAATCGTTTTGCCAYGTGAGAGATATGATATAGTTGCCTGTATAAATCAGATTTTTTAATAGAAATATGTTGTAGCTGCTCATCTCATATTTGCATGTACAGAGTGCTTGCCTGCTAGACATAAGGTCCCTAAATAGATTTTTTCAAAATACATCCCAGATTATGTCCTACCTGCTTTGGGCTTCAAAAATCTCAGTCTTTGAGAATACTCTGAGYCTCTGAGAGAGCTTTTCAGACTCGCGCTTGAGTATGGCCTGTAGCCAGTCTTTGATCTGGGTATTGCTGGGAGCCATACCTTGACCCTGATCCTAAGCAGAGTGCTGCCCTCTCCTAATGCAGATCAGGAAGCAAGTTCRCCTCTCAGCCTGCTTGCGCAGCTTCCCAAGACAGACTGACGTTTTCAAAGAGATCTGCAAGAAACATGAAAGTGATGGTGGTCTGTTTTAGCAGTCACTTGCTCAGCAGGGCTAGTGGTGCAGTGGTACTCTGGAAGAAGTAAAACTAACTGCTGCTTTCATTTCCAGCAGATGCACAGTAGCAGGGATCAAGAGGGAAAGTAGCCCAAGTACCAGCAGCAATAAATGTATGCACTCTTCTAGTTAGGAAGCAGAAGGAGTATGTATATAGAATTTCTTCAGGATCGTTTAATTTTAATTTCTTTTCCTCGCCCACGGATTGTTTTATGCTGAACCATAAATTGCATGTTTAATCCAGACTCTGTTCATAATACTGAAGAAAATTAAATGTCTTTTTTTAAACGTTTTCTCGCAGATAGATTTTTGCTACAAAAATCTTTATATGTATTTTCTTTATATGGGTCATTGACTAACAACACTGCTTTCCCCATAAAACAGGATATTGTATTAATGTTTCCATTATTTTAATTTTAAAACCATCTATAGCTTTCACCTGAATTGCTTAAACAAAAAACCTCACTGTCTTACACTTTGTAAGAATTTTCTTTGACATCCATGTAGACTTTTTCTCAGTGTAACATTTTCTTTCCACAGCTGCAGTGCAAGTTTATGGGGATGCACTAATAATATTAAATGGATAAGGTCTTCACACTATGCAGTTGCTGTATAATTAACAAAACACATAAGTGTTCTAAATATAGTGTGTGTCAGCAATCCAAAAAAAGAAAAATCCAGCAGAGAGCTGACTGAGGGTGGTATTTAAACAAATTACTTTCTCTGTTTTCGTTACTACAGTCTTTACTTTACAGGTCTTCTAATGAACTCCTTTCTAGCTGTGTTCAGTGATTGGCTCAGCCTAATAAATTTTAAGCTAAAACAAGGGAAGTTCTTTGGAACTGACAGTCCATGAATATTTTTGWACATTGCCTATATGTGGCAGTAGTTAGTCCCATGTGTCTGTGTTTTGAGTAGTAAAGCTATTGCTTAAAATATTTTCCTGTTAAATTGAGATACCTCTCGAAACTATTTATAGGAACACCACAGAATACACCACACAAAACAGGTATTTCCCTCATCATGTCATAATCATAGAAAGAAGAGTCAATAGAGAATATTTTAAACATTTAGAAGTGTTCATTTTCATTTCAGTAAATTGAAAACAACTTAGCGAATCTAAGGCCTTTTTTTCCATGATGAAAGCATATGTAAGAATTAATTAAGATGAAGGAAAGAATGAATTTGTGGGCATGGAAGTTTGTGTCCTCTATTTTCCACTGTTGTGAGTCAGGTTTTCTTAGTTTCGTAGATACTCGCACCTACTGTCCCTGAGTACACAGGAACAGGATCCTACCTTCATCTCATCCAAAGATAGAGCAGGGAGCTTCAGAACTGCATTCCTTATCTACTTTACAGATAAAAAGGTGGTGTAATTGTACAGATGCTTAATGATTAATTGGGTAAGAGAATGGGAACTTTTTAATGGATGGTATTGAGAGCTTGGGCAGGAGTGGTTGGCCAAGTTCCTTTGTAGTCTGAAACAGAAATGGGTATTAAAACCCCATTCAATTCAAATAAATTTTGCTCATGTATCAGAATAAATGGCATGGCTTTATTGCTGACCTAGTTTCTGTTCTTAGTATGTGGGAACTCTGCTGGTATCTACTTCTATGGGTTTCTAAATGATTTAAACATCAGCCTGAAAGAGGATAATCAGAAAGCTGTTGAGGTAGTTTTAAAATTTAAAGGCACTGCTGAAAGGGAAAAAAMCCCCACTATGTTAACACTTAGAGGTCACGAATGTCTTCTGTCCTGTTTGAGAAATTAGCCTCTCAGTATTAGGAGTTAATGTTGTTTTTGAGCAAGAGCATAATATATGCTTATATGGAAGTAAATTGTACTTGAGTTAGAAAAAAAAMCTCATCAATATCTTGATTTGGACACATTTGTCTGGTAGTGCCCATTGCATGAACCTGGATTTATGTTGTGTTGTAACTTTAGGGGCAGCTTTCACTATACTTGCTCTGTTACCTCCATGTGTGTAGAGAAAACAAGGGATGTGTGGTGTGCCTACTTTCTCTTTTGACATCCATGACCATGCCTGCAGTCTTAACTCTGTGTGGAAGAGGGAAGGAGGACAAAGTCCATTCCCCGTTGCCTTGGCTTAAGGATAGTATGAACACATAGACTTAGTTGGGCTTGGTTCCTTCCACCCTAAACACAATTCCATAAATGTTTTCAGCTAGGTTCGTAATTCCTAATTTTTTCATAGGTGGTCCTCACTGCTGCCACTTGTTTGTCTTTCTCTGCTTTCTGCTTCTGCATTCTCATGCTTTCTGTTTCTCCTGCTGTTTCTCATCACTTGTTCTGGCAATACTGGTTTTGAGCACTAATAAGCTTGCCCAAGCTTATTAACATGTATTTCTGGTGTGATTCATTGTTGAAAACTAACAGCTGGATATTAGGTCTGAATTTTGATGTTAGGTTGCTCTGCAGAACCTGGGCTGGAGGCCATTTTTATATGGATGATATAAAATAGTGTTTCTTTCATGAATAGTAGCTTCTCTTGTGGCATCGATTGATTGATATTTTTGCATTTGATTTGTGTCAGTGAATAACAAAACCATCCTGAGTGTTGCTGAACTGTTCTCTGAGTTCCATGTTAGATCTTGTATTCTGTCATTTTAAGGGGTTTCCTTTTTTTCCTCTCCTTTAGACCATTTCATGTGGAGCCCACGAACATAGTCAGTGTGAATGATGACACGCAAAGAGTCACTGATGAAGCTTCAGCAATGAATAAGCGGATTCATTACTATAGCAGGCTCACATCCCCTGCAGACAGGGCACTGGTAAGCCAAAGACAGGGCCTCATTAACTGGGCGGCTTCTGGTATGTTTTGGGTCTTACCTGGCTTTGTATAAGCAAGCAGCAGAAATAAACTTTGGGGGAGGATTGCTTTGCAGCTTGCTTTGAATTAAGTATCTAGTAGCTGAGTGTCTTGGAAAGCTTTTGTTTTATCACAAGCTGTGATTTACTTCTTGTGCAATGCATTCACCATTAAAAGAAAACATACAAACAGCATGAATTTTGTAATAGTCATCCAGGCTGCCCAGATGTATGATGTAATTGCTCCCTTCTATAAGATTCAAGCAGTGGTCAGCTACAGTGATTGAGCTATTGAGCTACCATGATCTGTTCATAGTGTGTTTACAGACATTCTGCAGAAGAAGAACACATTTTTCTGCGATGTAGCTAAAAATTCTATCAATTGTTTGTTGGGACATTTTCCTCTGGGAAGAGAATTAGCATAGTACAATCATTTTTTCTTTTTTTTTAAATGCAATTTCTTGGAAACATTTAGTGATTTACAATAGTTGACTTGCTGTATTTGGCTCAATTAGTTGCTTTAATGTTACTAATAAGTCTTGKTTTTTTTTCCATTTGTTAGATTGCTCCTGATCATGTACTCCCAGCTCCTGAAGAAATCTATGTGTACAGTCCATTGGGAACTGCTTTTAAAGTTGACAGTTGCACAGATGGCTATGGTAAAAACTCCAGTCTAGTGACAATGTATGTTAAACACCTTGCCATATATTAGCCACACAATGCATTATTATTCAATGTGCTGTATTGTATGCATAAGTATTGCTAACTAAGAAGACAATATGAAGCAACAGTGGTTCTGAAAATATTCACTGTATTTTTTCTTCCTAGATTTATGATATGGAATACTATGATGGGTACATCCATATTATGTATCCCATGGGGAATAAAACAGGTAAACTATGAAAAGTGTATGCATATGAAAATAATTTTGGCAACATGGCTTACTTTTCAGTTTTTTGTAGTATATTCATTAAAAAAAAACTGTATTTCTCCCTCTTAACAGGCAGGCTTTACTTCTGGAATTATTCTCGTCTTGCTGATGGGCATTTTGACTCTTTATTGCTGTTACAGAGTTGTGAAATCWCGGCAAATGATACGTAAGAAATCCAAAGCTTCATTATGCACATATATCCATTAAGTGTGAAATACCAGTATGTATTAGGTTGTGTTTTATGTGTCTCCTCTATATGTTAGACATGACCTGGAAATAAAAGCTGTTCCTTTGAATATCTCTCCATTTTTGTAGTCTGTGTCTAAGTTCTGTATCTGAATTACTATCTTCCCATATTAGATATTCTTTCAGTTGCTTGGGACTTTTGTACAAACTCTTAGCGAGCAGATTTTCACACGTTCACTTAGTAAATTTCTGGGGACTTGGGGAGTTAGAGGCATCTTTTCTGCATAAGCACTGTCCAGTTCTCATCAATTTGTACAGTGGAGCAGTGTGGGCTGCAGCTGTATCCCCTTGTGTTGTGTGCCTGTCTTACACTAATACTTGTATATATTCTGTGTTGAAAGCAAGTTAGGGGCAGTCAGTGGCTGAAGTAGTCACTGATAAGAGGCTCTAATTAGAATGTATTTTTATTGATCAAAACTTATCTTGCTGCTCTCGTTTGGTTGGTGCTTTTGTGCATAAGCTAACATCTCATTTGCTTAAATAAAGGACATTAAGACCTGCAGTTTGTGACAGCTCATTTCTAGGCATTGTTGAAGAGTAGTTCATGGCCTACTTTGGCCCAAGGTCTGGCCTACTTTGCCATAACTGTTGCAAAAGGCTTTAGCTGAAAATGCATGGCAGCATTTTTGCCATGTCTTATTTCAGTGCTTCTGAAAGTAGTCAAAAGTAGTAGTATGGCCACAATGGAAGTCTCTACYTTAGGGTTCCTCAGTCATCTTCTCTACTTTATGAGTGCTGTATTTTAAAGTAACAGCAATCTTCTTAGTCCTTGAAAGCACTGGGAATGTGTGTCAGAATATTCCAAAGAAAGACCACGGTTTGTCATGAATAATCTACTGACTKCAATATAACATTTTGTTTAGATATGTTTCTATTTTCTGTATCTTTCAGCTTTAATAGATACCTCAAACTGGGAATTTCCAGATGTTTGCAAGTATTACTTTGGATCCTTTGGTCAATGGTCAAGCCTCTTATTTTCAATGGTATCACTTGTTGGAGCCATGGTTGTTTATTGGGTACTTATGTCCAACTGTCTGTTCAACACAGGGAAATTTATATATAGTAAGTATACATTTTTTGGTTAACTTTACAGCAATTCTRTGGAAAGGTCAAGACTGCTTTATACTGAAAAAGAGCTGTTCCTTTTATTTAATCTGGATTTTCCTGCTACATTTAAGGAAAAATCAATTGAGAAAAAGTAACAGTGTGTATGTGTGGTGTTATGRGCAAAGTCCTGTGTATTTTCAAAGCCACTTTTTCCATTTCTCTCTCAAAATGTGGTTTTCTTGATGTAGCTTGAGCAACCTAAATCCTCTTGAACAGCAGCTAGACTATTGAAATTATTGAGAATAATGAAGAAAAAGTGTGTAGTTTCAGTATAGATTTCAACAAACATAAATTATTTCTATGTAGGAAGTTTTTGAAATTGTCCATGAGGAGAAAATKAACTATATATCACAGTAAGAATGATTCTTAGTGTGGCATTGCTACAAAAGAAAACATGTTGGTTATTCATACCCTTCTACGTGCATAGGCACCCAGACATTTGTGTATATAATCAATGTAGAGTCGTGGGAATGAATGATGGAATTGAAAGCTTTGAAAACTTTCAAAGTGACTCATAGCTTTGATTAGGTTGAGTAAGATTTAAGAGATTCTGCTTTGAAGGCAGTTAACAAATCTCTGAGACAAATAACAGCATAGACAGTTAAACCTCTTGAACAGTGTTTAGTTAGAATTCCCACCATCCCTGAAGGACATGCTTTCTTATATTGGTTAATGACCGATGTATATTATAGCTGACCTAATTTATACATTTTTACAGCCATTTCATTTTAGACTTTGGGGTTTTTTTAATCAGATTGACACTTTAATCCTAAATTATTCTAAATTAACTAATACCATTTCTAATAAGGTAAATTCAAAATGGTGGAAAGTGTTTCTTTTCTAGGAAAAACCTGCTTTTCCATGGGACTGGCGTGTTGTTTTATCAYCTGTATTTGTTTGGACTTCTTATATAAGCTGCTTTGAAATAACTATCACTGGACTCTTGTCCTAACCTTCGTACTTAATTACTAGGCAATAGGATGTAGGTTTGACACAAGAGCATCTTCCAGCYGTATGTTTCTAAGTATTCTAAGCAGACTACTGTATTTGATTCTAATGCATTCAAATGACTTTAACATATGCACATACCATTTAGGTGGGAACAAATAGATTTTCTGAGGGAGGATGATCTGGAAATCTGTAGTACACGAAGAATGCAAGAATTGTTAGCTGAATACAATGTCATTTCTTTAACGTGGTCTTTTGTTCTGATCCTGTTTTATGGAAGAAAAGGATCCACMGATGTCATTGCTAGTCCTAAACCTTTTTTTAAATACAGAAGAAACAGAAGTTGACATCATGACAGATTTGGAAGTGGTTTAAATCTGTAAGAGCTATKAATTTTTATGGCTTCACACTAGATACTTTTTTTAAATTAGGAACATGAAACAGTGATGAAGTGAGGAGGTGATCAGTGATTTTARTTAAATCTGATTGTTGTATGCACTGAACTAGTAGAAGTAAGTATGAGAAACTTATTTGTAATTCAGGGTATCATAAGTTAAAATGAAGAAAGAAGAAATAGTTTTCTTTCCAAAAGACTTTTTTCCTTCTTTATGAGAAACAAGCTGCTTTTAATTGCATTTTAAAAATCTGAGGCCAGCTAACCCAGTTCCTTTTCTGTGGGCATAACACACCCACATGCAGCAGTAGGAAAATTTAACCAGTGACACACTAATTCGGTTTCCAAGCTGATGGAGCATTTTTTTGTGTTTTATATACATAAATATAATGAAATTACTATCCAACACCCTCATAAAGGTGAAATTGCAGAAGCTTGGAAATAATTGGTGTGATAYAGCAATAAAGTAGCGCAGGAGTATACCAGAAATAAAATACTTCCAGATATGCCTGTAGATAGTGAGGCTTAAACCTTTTTCCAGATTTTCCTGTGGAAACATGGAAAAAGCATCCCACAGAGCCTCTTCTGAAAAGGATAGAAAATGAGTAGGGGAAGGTTTTTCTGTATAATACCATCTGGACTATGGGTTTGCATGCCCTTTTTTCTGTCCCAAAAGAAGATGGATTTAAGATGCATCTCCTCACTGACCTACTGTTCAGCATTACCACCTGAGGGGTTGGGAGAAGTGGAGATGTGCTTGTAGAACAGGAATCTTGGGAGTGGGGAGTCTTGGGAACTTTATAAATGGACAGGGCTCCTAGGAGGGAAGTAATACAGTGTGGAACTATTTTAAAGCATTTCTACAATAGTTTGAAAATATCCACTTAGGTCTGGGGTGAGTACAAGCTGTTTTATTTTGCCTTTAATGTCATTTTTCAAAATATTTTCTTTTTTGATTTAAATTAAGTCAACAGATGAAAGCTTAATAGTAGGTTTGGGATATTGATGATGAGATTTTCTTCTTTTCAGATTTTGTTCATGACATTAATGTAACAGATATTGTTCCTGGCACCAATGGAAGTAACAAAGGTAAGAAGTGTTCTATTTCCTGTTTTGGGTTGGGGATTTAAAGGCAAAATCATCATGTTTCCATGCCTAACTACCTACCAGTTATAAAGTATATCTCATAAATTGTAGCTATGTGTTTCTTAAAAAAACTGTAATTTTCTGTCTGGGGTTTGTACTTCCACAAATAACCACATGCTGGGAGATCTTATTAATTGGGGAAGAAAAGAAGTAAGTGAAGAAAGTGGAGGTGGGAGTAAGTATTAAAAAGCTGATTACAAGCTTGTGTATGCCCAGATATGTCCTCCGTAAAAGCCTGAATGTTAACTTCTTAACAATGGTTGCACAATGAGGAGTTGCCTTAAGGAATTTTAACTTTCACACCCTAAATTTGAGGCGCCTTAGTTCTGTTTACTGTTTAAAATCTTGGCTGGGGCAGCTTTGCCACTCATCAGTTCTACAGCAAGATTATTTAAAAAAAAAAAATTTAGGTACGAACAGCTTTAATGTGCTGAGCGCAAAAAACACCCAAATGTCAAGCTACTTGAACCTCTGCCTGTGCTTTTTGGAGAGTCTGACTAAGGGAGGAGGCTGCAGTCAAGTATGAACATAGGTCTGTTGAGAGTTCTTAAGCAGGCAGARTAATGCAGAATGAAGACAGGAGCAAGGCAGGCATTGTCAATCCCTGAATCCTTCTGCCTTTTATAGTGACTAAGTATGTTCAGCTTCCTCAGGGTGGGAAGCAGAAAGGCTCATAAGGAGTGGGGCAACATGTCAGTACAGCTGCGCAGCTGTGTGTAACATTAGCTGCAGCTGTGTTTCTGAAGAACAGATGTTGGAGTCAGGCAAAGGGGTTGAAAAATAGTTCTGAAAACCAGTTGATTTTCATTTGAGCTGGTGTTGAATCTTACTGCTCTAACAGTCCTTACCATCAAGGCGCCAATTTGTGCCCTCTCCTGCTTCTGCTGTTCTCTCCCATTCCTGTGCAGCAGGGGGTATAACTTGAAGGCAAAGTAGACAATATTCTACACTATCCTCCACCAACTAGAAGATTTAAAGCAGCTGCTACAGAAAATTAAGGGCAGCCAGATGTTCAAGTGACTCTTTACAGGACATTCAGGGCTACCAAGGAGATCAGTAAGAAAAAGAGCATTTTTTGAGATTTGTGAAACAATCTTTTAAGCGAAAAGTTTGTTAGAACACTTCTTACACCTTTGACTTTGCAACCCGTGTATGATAATGGCTATTGAGTACTGTGGGATGCCAAGATTTAAAATAAGACATTATGAGAGCAATAAGACAGATTWCTATTTCAACACAGAGCTTCATAGGCATGTGTTAGAACACTCACATGCACATGTGTTTCTCACGGGGTCTTTTTGATTGGTTTTGTTCCAGTCACTTGGTCAGGTGTTGTCATTGATCACTTATAAGAGAAGTGTGACGTTCCCTCTGAGCAGTGTTACTGGAGCGCATCCTAAATTTCTTGTGATTGGCAGTGATGTACYTGCTCCTGTTGTGGCACAAAGATGACAAGAGTGTGTTTGGGTTCAATGTGTAAGTTTTCAACCTGCCATTTGTTACAGTAGCTTTCTTTCCATGCTTTGTTTGTAAAGCAATTTACAGTAATTCAGRCTCTTCTGTATGCATTTGCATCTTGGTTGATATCCTACTGAAGTATTCAGGGACAGATTAGGATGCTAAATATGCAGCCAGATGCAGGGCACTATTAATATGATTGATTCCCGCAGGTACATGTAGGCGTTGTACAGACCTCATTATAGGGATGTGACCTTGAAGAATGGTCCTGTGTCACAACTTGGGCTTCAGATAATTTATCTTCTTTGCTGTGCTCAGTTGGAAGAACTGTGGCACTGTCAGAGCACAAGGTGCTTAGCAGTGGAATTTTAGCAATGAGTTCATAATTAAAAAAACAAATAGAAGTTAGGAACTGAGATGTTGAACATTGCATTTGAGCAATCCTCAGTAGGTAAAACACACCAGAAATTGTGGGATCTTGGCTGTGAATACTCTGTGCAAGTAAAACCCTTTTCACCTGAGGATATTTTTCTTTTTCTTTCTTCCAGTCATTTGTCCAAGTGCTGCTAGCGGTGACCCACCACAGAACAGGAGTGTGATATTCTCTTCTGGCAACAGAACAGGTTTTGAACTCTTTGAGGAATGGTGGGACAAATCACAAACAGTACCATTTTACCTGATAGTAGTTCTTCTACCCCTGCTGAATCTGAAGTCTCCGTCCTTCTTTGCAAAGTTTAATGTTCTGGGTAGGTAACAAAATACAAATACTATTAAAGCATTAGYTCATTGTGACTGAAGTGTATAGAAGACAGTGAAAGCTACTCCAGTGAGTAGAACCATAAAATCTTTTAGGTTGGAAAAATCCTGTAAGGTCATTGCATCCAACTGTTAACCCAGCACTGTCAAGTCCACCACTAGCCATGTCCATAAATGCTTCATCTACATGGTCTTTAAAATATGTCTAGGAATGGTGGTTTAACTGTTTCTCTGGACAGCCTTTTACAATGCTTGATGATGCATTCTATGAGAAAGTTTTCCTAATCTAAACCTCCCCTGGCACAGCTTGATGGCATACCCTCWCATCATGTTGCTGTTTGCTTGGGAGAAGAGACCAACCYCTAACCCTGGCCCCAGCCTCCTCTCAGGCAGTTTAGAGAGTGGTGAGRTCRCCCTGAGCCTCCTTTTCTCCAGGCTGARCACCCCCAGCTCCCTCAGCTGCTCCTCACAGGACTTGTGCTCCAGACCCTTMACTAGCTAGTTTCATTTCCTTTCCCCAGATATTTTCTAGCYTCTCAATATCCTTCTTTTCTTGAGGGGCCCAAAACTGACAGTATGCATGTCACAGGGGCAGCCTCAGCAGTGCCCAGGACAGGGGGACAATCCCTGCCCTGCTCCTGCTGGCCACACCATTGCTGATCCAGGCCAGGATGCCATTGGCCTTCTTGGYCACCTGGGCACACCCTGGCTCATGTTCAGCTGCTGTCACCAGCACCCCCAGGTTCTTTTCCATTCAGCAGCTTTCCAGTCACTTTTCCAGTATTTTGCTGGCAGCCCATATTGTGCCTCAAAGTGGATTGTTGGTTGGTTTAGTAACCCCACAGGCTTTCTATGCAGCTTTGTTTGAATCTTACCGTTAACAGGGAGTTAATTTTTCTTCCTTTGGCTTGCTTGATAATTGTGTGAAACAAAATCCATTACATCTACAGCAAATTTCCCCAGGTGGTKGTATACACACTACTGCACAGCATTTGATATATACTACCTTGGTATAGTCAGGTATACCCTTCCCCCTCTGGTAAACATTTCAAACCATCATTTACTTCCAAAGATTAGTTGCAGTAGCCTTAAGTATTGTTGCTCAGTTTTCTTCAGTTTAGGTGGCTACTATTCTGCCCTTGTCTGTTTCAAATGGCCCGAGCCAAGACCATACAGCTTTCATCCCACAGGTACACACAGCAAGACATTTATACCCATCTGTGATCTTATTTGTTGTCCTTTGGCTGTGCAAAGTTCTGCTGGATGCCTCTGAACCAGTGAGATGGAATATAAATCCGTTACTATAATAAAGGTTATCCAAAGTTACAATTAACACAAGGTTTTAATCAGTAGCATTGAAATGTCATCATCAACTTCTAGCTCCTGGTGTAAAGTTCACAAGTGCAGTAATTTCAYATTTCATTGATCTTTTTGATTCAAAAAGACAATGATTAGATGAACAATGTAGTAGCTGGAGTACTGTGATCAACATTGTCTCASCTTTGAGATTGAAATCCTGACACCAGAAGCTGGAACTGGTTTGTTAGTGCCTGAGACCTTCTTGTTTACCCARTAGCTGGGATTGCAGGGTACTTCCACCACTGTCACCAGCACCTGGAAAATACTAAACTTGCTGAAAGTTTACATTGTGTGCATGTGCATTATTTTTTCTCTTTGACCTGTAAGAGAAGCAAAGAAAAAGTTTAGACCTAGCCTGTCTCTAGGAATAAATATCAACATCACTGTTTAGACTACTAGTAACTAGTTGGATGGAGCAGAAATAAATCCCTGCATAAATACTACAACATCATGGTATTTCTTTGGCTCTCATTTTTTTCCAGGTACAGTTTCAGTTGTCTACTTAGTTTTTCTGGTTACAGTAAAGGCTGCTCGTCTGGGAATACACATAGAATTCAACTGGTTTACAGAGAACGAATTTTTTGTACCAGGTAAGATAGTTAAAATGCAGTAATGAAGCATATGTTTGTTGAATTTAAGATTTTTTTTCTCATTCACTTTTTAACACCTCTGAGACATAATTAAAGTGAGGAAAGACTGCCTGCTGTTGCATGGAGAGGAAGGATCCCTCATGACAAAGTGACAAGAAATCCCTTTCCCAGCAATATTCCTTAGCTAAGAGATGGTATCAACTGTGGGGAAGAGGAGAGTGCCTACYAGAGGAATATCCAACGTATATCTTGTGACAGAGAGCTTGCCACAGTCCTGTTTCACCTATATTATTTTAAGTTCTGGTTGCACCAGTTTCAGATCTTACCTGTTTCAGTAGCAATTGAAAATGACAAGCTGTAGACAGACTGACTGTTAAAGGTAYTTTAAGTTCCCCGCACGCTGTCTTGGTTAAATGAAATACCTCATTCACCATCATTTTCAAGTACCGTTTTCCTGCTCTTCCCAGTCTACCTTTAAGTTTTGGGCCATAATTTAGCTCCTCTTTCAAACACCCATTATCTTTACAGTATGTTTTTATTTTCTTGAAAGTTGTTTGGTGGCTGTATGTTCTTTCCAAATTACTGTTACAAATTACTCTGTGAGATGGCATTGTCATAAACAAGTGGCATTTGGTATTGCTTGAACACATAGCCTGAAGAGATCAGTTTCTTGTTTTAAGAATCCTGGAATGAGAACCAGGGCTAGGTCTTAGCTGTTTTTTTCCCATCCTTTACAATAGTCAAAATTGTATGACCAGTTAGCTCCAGGGAGCTGTGTCCGTACTATTGAATAGTATCATTTCTTCTGTTATTAGAAACAAATGAGAAGAATGAGTTATAGTGACACATGTGCCACAGGTCACTGAGAAGTACCCAGTAATGTGGTTATTTTGGCAAAATCTCCTCGTACTGCTAGGAGATAGACAAAGTATGTAGCTAATGCATACAAATACATCTATGACAGATTCTGAAACTGTCAGTTTGCTTTTTATTATTGAGTTTAAAATCGTGGGTGAAAGAGAAGCCTAAAAGTCACTAGCACTCTCAGTCCTTTCCATAGTGCATCATGCTAGTTAGATATTGAAAATGCAGTGAACCCAGCTCCGGGGAAGGCATATTCTTTCAGCTTAGATAAGCCTTCTGTTAGTTGCCTGGGGTGTAATTACCTTCCTAACTTCATGGCACCTTGTAGCAGTCTGTTTTAAATATGTTTGCATGGAGCTCCCTGTGGTTTGTTCTGTAAGGGTTTGTGAACCTTGGATAAGTGACGTGCTATACTGCTGGATGCTCTCCAGAAGCTGAGCTGTTTTAGGGGTCTCTAATTGCTCTCAACACTCTAAAGAGTAAGTATTTCTTAGGTAATACCAACTTAAATGGTGCTTTAATGATATTGTGCATTGGTGAATTCCTAGACCATTTGCAGCACTTCCAGAACCACCATCTTGTGAACATCTTTTGAGTATTAAAAGAAGAGCAATGCTATTCCCATGGAGAATAAAAAGAATTTTTTTTCATACATGCTGTGAAGCATGACAAGAAGTTGCTCTGCCTTTCTTCATGTCCTAGCTTGTAAGCAGAACCTCTTAAATATCTGCAGATGTAATTTTTCTTCTGACAGCACAAGTGACTTCTTAATAAATAAAAGTGCTTACAGGGCAAATGATTCCTTGCCTCCATTTCCTTCTTCCAGAACCAGTGTGTATACAGCCTCGCTGCTGTCAATTCTGACTTTGCAAATGACTTCCAGTTAAACTGTTGAGAATCAGAAAACTAGTATATGTGAGTCTTAAATTAACCTAGTACTCACTGATGGTTGGAATATCTCAGAGAAGCCTTGCTGGAGCAGTGTGTTCTGCACTAATTACTGTCTCCATGCATTTGGTACTTCCTGATTAAATATCTGCATTGGCTATGGTCAAAGATGACATAGATTGTCCCATTTCAAGGTGGAGGTTTGTGAATTTGCCAGTACTCTTTAGAGCACTGTATGTCATCTGCATTTTGGTATTGCTTGCTTCAAAGAAGTAACTTACAAACACWTTTTTTTCTTCCTTTAGAGTTTAGAATTTTGTTTCCTCAGCTCACGGGGGTTCTAACACTTGCCTTCTTCATCCACAATTGTGTCATCACACTTCTTCAGAATAACAGGAATCAAGAAAACAATGTAAGTAACTTCACAAGACTGTGCTCATTTGTATCTGGATTGCCAGACAGCAGTCATTATTTTCCTGTGATTTGATAAGAAAAAGGTTACGCATTGCTTTCCCAGCTGTCGAGTAGTAACAGATACATTACAAATTTATTCACATAAAACCCCTGAGGAATGTCCCAGACTTACTTTTGGTCAAGCTGGTATTAAATGCCCAAATTGCACACAAGAGGCAATGTTGTAAGACTCAAAGAAAACTGACTGATTTTGGAATGAAAAATGGTGSAGAATGTTTGGTACAGGACTGATTTTAGCAGAGTCCTGAAAAGTAGTTTTGGGGTCTAGGTAATACCTTTCCTCAGAGTTGCTTTTGTAGTTTTGTGTCACAATCCAAGTCAAGATACATAGAGAAACTTGTTATAATTTAGGAAATCCTCGAAGCTGGAGTCTGGACTAACAGGCTTTGTGATACGCAGTCTTTGGACTGGTGCTTTGCCCTTGAAAAAGTTAAGCACTGCTCCTCCAGATGGAAATGTATTCTTTGTTAATATCTTCCCATTATAAAATACAAAATGGGGTAAATACAATACACAGASTCTGAGAGTGAACTTTTACTTATTTTATTTTTTCCTTGTACTTCCAAGGATTCTTGTCCAGCTTTGTTAAAATCTTAGCTGTAAAGGTACCTGCAATTACGTGCAAAGATTTTAAAATATTTGCTGTAGGAAAAACCGGTACAAAATCATAGAATTCCAGAATGTTTGAGGTTGTAAGGAACCTCTGGGTGTCATCTTGTCTTCCTACTCAGTCAGGGCCACTGAGAGCCAGATGCCTGTACAACACATCAGATAAAATACATGTGATTTGGTTATTTGAAGGTGTAGTGCAGATTATGTACCAATGCAAGACCTCTTTTATGCTTTAGTAGTCTGCATAGTTACTTCCCTATTCCTGTCAAGACTAATCCTAATTAGTCTAATTAGATTAGACTAATCTTGATTCCTAATCAAGACTAGCTTGTGAATAACCATACCTATAAAGGAGCTGGGAATTCTGCAGGAAGTTTCTAGGGTTTTATAAGTTTCTCTGAAAATAGTTTAACAACTGGAGGTCTGGACAAAGAAAGCTAAGTAAGCTTTTTCTAGATTTGCTGAAGAAAATCTTATGATGTGGAGAAGAGCATGATATCCCTTTAGCTRTAGCTTTCAAATTCTGAAGGCTAGATCTCCAGCAATCGATTCTATATGCAGAGCAGGCCTAATACCATCATTCCCTCTTCAAGGTTTTCCTGTAGATTTTCTCCCTCCATTTACATCAGAGCAAGCAATCAGATGCAAAGAGCAGCACCTAGAGTGTTCTCCAGCTTGCTTTTCCTAYGTGAAAGAAAAAACCACTGCATGCATTTGAATCAGCTTTTCTGATGCCCTCCCTGAAGCTTAAGTTGACTTTCCAAGTCAGCCCTAGCATGGATCTCAAACCCTTTACAAAACTTTGCATTCCAGAATGTTCAGATTGCTCAGAAAGGACACTTTGAAGTATGGCAGGAAAGATTTTTAATGGGAAATCAAATCTCTATGTAGTTCTTGTAGTTTTATTCGGTTGGAGATTGTTTCCCTGTCTGTAGCTGTTCAGGAGCCTTTCACCTAGGTCCCAAAAGTGTTTTTCAAATGTTGATGAAGTACCTACTCTCTTGAAGAGCTGCTTTGTGATTATGTCACTAGGCTGCTGGACTAAGTGGGAGATTTACATGTGCACAGGGGTCTCTCTGTAAGTCAAGGGTTTTTTTTCCCCATGTATTTACAGCATGCTTTCTTGTCTCAGTATCTAACAGGGTGATACTGGTGTAACTCCATGGATAAAAACTTCACTGTTTCACTGATTGACCTGTTACCATTTCACTCCCATCAGAGTTCTGTGAAAAGGTACAGAACTTGGCAAGCTGGAAAAACACCATTTTAGTCTCAAAAAAAGTTTGCTGAAACTAGCGGTCATAGAACAAGTCTTTGGGGAGACGGAAAAAAGTAAGAGAAACAATAACATTCCTTTTATGGAGTCAGAAATTCAAAACAATAGCAGCTTCCATTCTGGTCACAGGCATGTATCACAGCCCAAAGCTAAAACACACATGAGGGAGGATTGCTCTGGCTGCTATTCCTGTACCATGGTGTGGGTGTGAGAAGAGCTGCGTGCCAGAGTAAGTCAAATGTCAGCAGCACAGCCTGGAGGAGCCCTGTGAGCAGGTTCTTAGTCTGCAGTTCAGAGTTGAGCTCCGTGATCCCATCTCCCATTGCTGCTGCCTTCTTGTATTTGTCAGATTATTTGGAAACAAATTGCACAGGAAACGTAACCCAGCTACAAAAAGGAGTTTAGCTGTGGGTTTTGGTTGGTTGTTTTTTGTTCCTGATTCATGTCTGTGATCAGTTTCTCAGAGTACAGATGCTACACAAGCCCAGCATGATATACAGGCATGAATGTGCTGGTGCTGTCTGCTAACAGTTGTTTGTGGATGAACCTGTGAGAAAGGCTGGGAGTGGGAAGAGTTTTTTGTCCAGGTATTAACTGCAGAAGACATGGACCTGTAAATGGTACTCACTTTCTGCAGTATTGAAACATTGTTTATTCTCTGTAAACAGAGTGAGCTTCCGCTGATGCCGGCATACTATTGGTTTCCCTTTCTGGCCAAAATTATGCACAGAATCATCCATCCTGGTGAAGTACTTCTTTTGTCACCCAGTTACATGCTATCACTTGCCCTTGATGCATGAACAGGTGAAAGTCTGTTTTTGTGATATAGATCAAAGTCCTGCTGAGATATTACAGAGACAGCATCTCTCTTGAGAAGTGACTAATCTGAAATGRGATGATCAAAAGGTACTTTGTGGTAATGATTACTAAGCACTGATACAGGCTTYTCCATCCAAGAAGCAGCTCTACAAACTTGCTTTCACTGGTACTGAGGAAAAAAGTGAATATTTTCTTCATGGCATACAACAGGCACATCACAGCCTGAAAGTTGCCTGTTCTTTGCAGCACCACATAGGACATAACCCTAGAGCCACAGAGCCTTTTCTGTGCTGTGTCARTCCTGAGCTGCAAGTTGGGCTGGTGCTCAATTGCTAATCTGGTCTGTGGGTGTGATACAATGTCTTGTATTTTCTGAGTTGTCTTTGTTAGCTCCACATGATTTATCGGACTCGACCTTTTGTTGGGAGGCTGATTGCTTCCTTTGTCCCACTACTGCTGCCAGCCTTGATCTCCCAATTTTCCCTTCTTCCAGTGGCATTTTCTAACACTKTTTTCTGTGCATCTGACCAGGAGAGCTCCTAGTCAGCAGGARCTGGAGCTGATGTGTTCTCCAAGTTACTTCTCAAAATCTGCCTCTTTACTTCAGGTGTACTTGACAAGGGCTTGGCAGGTGTCAGGCTGTGATCCTTATGGACTGTGACCTGCATGTTGCCGTAGGTACTTAGGTTGGTAACATTGTGATTCCACAAATACTTTCTTCTTTCAACATAACTTCTTCTACATTTGATTCTCTGACTCTGGCTGTAGGAATTTCTGTATTCTTATGCTTAGGCAGCTTTCACCACAGCAATGTCCATTTTGAATGTAAATGCCTCAAGTATCAAATTTAAAATAGAAAAGTGCAATTATTGCTCATATTTAAAATTAATCCTTCTATCTCTCCCCATGTGTCCTTTGATTTTAGCTGGRATTATGCTGTCTAAACGGTACTGTCAAGGTCTTCAGGGAGTGAACCCAGGTCTCTTGAAGAGTAATGAACATTAATCAAAAGATGTTCCTGTTATGTACACAAACACACGTTGTAGTACAAAGATAACCATTGTATACACAGCAGCATATGTTTGGAAGGGAACTGATGGATATTTGAGAAAAAAATAAATTCAGGTTTTCAAGTTGTCTGTTTYTTTTCTAGTATGCTAAGAAAATACATTATCAAAATTGTCTCAGCACTTAGTTTCAGTGCAGATTAAAGCATACATCCTTAAGAACTCTAGAAACATGAACTGGTTAGTATAGCTGGAGGTAGTATAGCACTACCAGCASTATCAGCTATCTGCCATTTCTCATGTATAGCCCAAAGGAAGCAGTAAGAATTTTATTTCAGAATTCTTGCCCTCACAACTGCATGCTCTTGTCACAGCAAAAATAGTTTTACAGTTGGTTCTAGAACTTACCTGTAGACAGAGTACAGGTAACCACTATGAGTTACTATGCTGTTTTCATGCATTAGGAGTACACCAAAAATACCAAATTTAAAGCAGGTTTTGGCCTATGATGTGCATTAAGAATGTCTTGGGTACATTTTGAAAAATTGTGCAAGTCCKGTCTTCAAGAGATGAGAGTCTGTATCTCTTTGCAAAACACCTTACTGTGATTTGTCCCTGAGTCCTGCAGTTAATAGAAGTTGCTGATAAATACCTGTAATAAATCTGGGTGCTCAGATTTGGTATTCTTAAAATCAGTTTTTAGGGTGGGCACTGGTGCTTTTGAAGATGTAGATGTTACATAAAAAACTACTGCTGCTCACGTCACTAGGAGAAATTCTGCATATAATTTATGCTACTGCTGAGCTTTTGATAAAAGGTGATACTCCTTACTTGGTGACCAGTATGAGGAGAGTGAATCATCTCCATGTGCATTTAACTGGTCAGCAGGAGGAAGAAGTTGCAGCTAAAAATGTGCAACTGCTGGGAGCTTGTAGGCCACCCTGGCAGACATGTTCAGAGAACACTGATGCCTTTTTCCCATAATATGCCTCATCAGATAGCAATCATCTACCCCAGAAGCACTGGCAAAATAAGCAAGAGGTTCCACTTCTTTCACCAAAAACTGGCTTCCATCTAAACTTCCCTTAAAACTTGTAATCTAGCATTTTATACCTTCCTCAGGGATTGCCTTGCCCTCGGCAGAGCCTGGAGTGGTGTAGGATATGCTGCTTCTTCAACCGGAAGAAACATTTAGCACTTAGGGAAACATTTCCATGCACAGGTTGTAAGCAAGCTTTGCTCATGCTCACTGRGCTGGCTGGAGGTGATCATTATCACCCTGATTGGGAAACCAGTATAATCCTAATAATTTGGTACTGTGCCTGAGCCAGTACGACTTGCTTCTCAGTCTTAGGAAAATAGGGTCATGTATTGAAACATTACTAGTAATCCTTTAAGAAGCTGATGATTAGCAGCAGCGGAATAAATGGTTTGCTGTAAGGTAATGAGTGTTTTGTACTGTAATATAAGCTTATACAGAATATAGTTAGCTAATAACTAGAAACAAATGGTCTGCCTCTTTGTTTCCAAAGGACAGGATTGATACTGAAGAATAACCTAGCACATTCATTGCTGTGAGGTCACTCTGATGTATATGTGGATTCTGTAGTTTCATGAAGTACATAATTAGTTTTGCTGGTTATTTTCCAGCAAAACTAATTAGCTCTAATAAATGTTTAATTATTTCTGGGCAGTGAAAAGTATTTTTTGTATATTATATATTTTATAAAAATAGCCAGAATTTTCAGAATTGAACACTGAAATTTAGATTTAAATCCATACTTAAGTGTATATAATATACTTAAGTATGGATGTATAASCCTAGCTTCAGCAGTCTCTCCTAAAAACCTTTGATTAAATTCCTTTGTTATATATCTGCAGTTGRATTAGCTAATGTCTTTGATTGCAAGATTTTATTGATGACAAGAAATTTAACATGGTGCGCTGCAGAGCTTCCTGTCTTAGGCAGGTGTATCTGYATTCCAAGGGTCTTGGCTGGAATAGCTGAATGTAAGAAAGTAGATGGGATTTCTTGCTTGTTTTAATAACTAGTGTGTGTTTGTGCATCAGCAATAACATGTTACATCTATTGGTACTTCTTTTTCTTGATGCCTTTTCTGTATGTTGAGGGATGAATAACAGTTTAACTCCATTTTGGGGTATCTCRTTGCAGCTTTCTGATTTGATCAGGACCAGGTCCAAAACCCCATTCAAGAAGTAGAAAGTAAAATTAGAAATATGTGATAGTGGTAAATATAAATAGGTAATACATGTATCAGTAGCAGTAATAAATGAAATAGAAATCTTCTCATGAGGTTTTTATTTCATCTGGTTTTGTGTGTCAGTGCTGGCCAAAATAAAATCTTGKTTTTTTTTTTCAGGTGAGAGATCTCTCTATTGCATACTTCCTGGTTGGACTAACATATCTGTATGTTGGAGTGCTAGTTTTTGCATCTTTTCCTTCTCCACCATTATCCAAAGAATGCATTGAACAGGTGAGATATTTTAATGCGGAATGTATTTTATGGAATCACTAAATGGGTTTTTTGGAAGGAACCACAATGTGTTGTCTGGTCCAACTTCCCTTCCCAAGTAGGGCCATCACAGAGCACATGGCACAGGATTRCATCCAGATGGTTCTGGAATGTATCCAGTGAGGGAGACTCCAGAACCTCTCTGGGCAATCTCTKCCAGTACTTGGTCACTACACAGCAAAGAAGTTCGTCCTCTTGTCCAGGTGCATGAGTTTACTGTGCATGAGTTTCTGCCTGTTGCCCCTTGTCCTGTTGCTTGGCATTACAAAGAAGAGCCTGGTCCATCCTCTTGGCACCCTCCTTTCAGATACCTGTACCCATTGATGAAGGGCAATGGGAACAGGCCCATCTCMCTCAGCCTTTCATCATAGGAGAGATGCTCCAGTCCCTTGATCATCTTTGTAGCCCTGAGCTGGATCTGCTCCAAGAGCTTCTTGTCTCTTGAAATGGGGAGCCCAGAAATAGACACAGGATTCCAGGCGAGGCCTCACCAGGGTTGAGTAGAGGGGCAGGATCACCTCCCTCGACCTGCTGGCAGTGCTCTTACTAATACATGCCAGGATACCATATTTGTCCTTAACCTTTTAATAAATATACCTTTTAATTTTTTTAAAAAGACCTTTTAATATGCAATAAAACCCTCYAAGCTACTGCTTCTTGCTTCATGATTCACCCTGGCAGACACATCTGTCCTTTGCTGTGGTCGGTTGGCTGACACCTTGTGGGCACTACCACAAACAAATGAGTAATGCTTGTATTATCTTATTTATATTCATAAATGGCTCCCAATATTTCTGTAAAAAACAAACATTTAATAAATACTCCATGAAAGGGATGTAGAAAGGACCCAAATGAACAAGTGAACAGTTGGGCCTTTCATTTCTTTAGCTTCTTTAATYCTGAGAACTGTGTGCAGTGACTCATTGGGACTCCAGGGGAAATAGAATGTGAATGCAGTTTAGATAGGAGTCCTCACTGCAAGTAGGTTTGGAGCCTGACACTAAGGTGAGCCTTGCCAGCAGAATTCTTCAGATAATAGCACCACGTAGAATACCCTGTGAAGGCTAAAAATTGGTACCTGTTTATAGGCAAGGCTGATTGCCACACTCTAAATTTCTTCAGAGATACCAGTTATCAATGGGGGATCCATTTTATGCCAGGTGTTGCACGGCTCTGGCATAATATTTAGCAATAAGGCAGCATTTAAAGGCTTCCTCTGACTGTGGATTAGTTAGAACTGGTACCACTGTTAAACCATGGACTTTTATTTTTAACCACCTGAAATAATTTCATGGGATGAAATCCACAGTTAAATAAGAGATATTTTAACATTAACATTTAACATTTATTTTCTGTAGTTATTTCAAGTACTTAAGAAGCCATTTGTATATTTCTATCTTAAGTCTTACAATACTTTTTCAGATGTTGCCAGTTGTAGTGTATGATCATATTTAATGCGATGCAGTTTTACTTGTAAATAACTGGTTTTGGTAACTACATATGAAATTATAGATAATAGGAGCATATTAATCCATCTGCCTGAAAGGTCAGGTGGCCCTTCCACTGCCTGGATTATTTGAGGATATTCAGAAGATTAGAAAGTAATTCCTTATGTAATACTAATATTAACACTGACATCAGCCTAATAATACTCAAAAATCAGTTGTTATATGGTGGCAAGGCAGTTGTCAAAGAGGGAGAGAATATTTCATGTTACGTGGAGTCCATGTAGCAATTGTAGTTGTTTGGATTTTGTCCCATTTTTTCTGGCACACATATATTAAAAACCAGCAGATACATGTAATTAAGCTGCCATTAATGTGTAACATTATTTATATGTTTAGAATTTTCTAAACAACTTTCCCAGTGATGACATCATGTCGTTTGTTGCAAGAATATTCCTGCTGTTCCAAATGATGACTGTATACCCATTGTTGGGCTATCTGGCACGAGTTCAGCTGTTAAGACAGTTTTTTGGAAATGCTTACCCAAGGTAAGACGTCTGTTTCTTGAGAATAGCTTGGCACACTTTGCTTAACTGGCTTTCTGTTGACAGAAATTTGGCTAGGTTTTGGGGGATTTTCTTTGAGCATTAGGTGTATTTCATAAGCTAGTTTCACTGAATTTGTGGAGCTGGGATGAATAGGCAAGCAAAATAAACTTGCCTGCTGATCAAGATTGCTACTGTTTGCTAGAGCAGAGTAAGGRGGGGTTCTTTTGGTTTAGCTGTTCATTTTGTCAAACAGGAGTATTGTCAACAGACCCTTTGTGTTATGCAATTATATGGCAAAATAAAAGCTGTACAGGGAAAAAAATTGTCCAAAAGCATTTCATCTAGCAGTCCTTAAGCTGTGAAGGACATGTACTCCAGATACTAACCTTTGAGCATGCCATCTGTGTTTTGGTTGTGCATGATTAGTAATCATCCATCTGTTTTTAAACAGAGCTAATAGCTAAGTGTGTTGTTAGTTGTGCTATCTGGGTTGCTGCTATGCATATAAAAATAGCTTTTCACATGCTAATTTCAGATATGAGCCACACCCTTGCATTTGTACAGTGTCTGTACTGCAGGGAAGAGCTGATCCAGATTTCAGTTTTAGCTTGTTTTTAAATAAGACCTAGGACATTTATATTTGGAGTACTGGAGTACTGAATTTGTCACAACTGAGAAGTTGCCATTTATCTCCAAGTTGYTTATTTTATATTGTGAATTGCTGTTGATGGAGGAAAGGGAAAAAAATCTCAGGAAGGAATGTGTATTTCCTCTGTGGCATCAGCAGTTCAGGTCTGCAAAGATGTTGTTCCAAGTTTCAGGTTTCTTGTCAGTCCTAAAATAGGATTGAGAAGTTCTAGAAACTGAATGCCTAAAATTAGGCARTGAAATAAGTGCCTGCTTTTCTTGACGCTAAATTGTACGCAGTTCAACGTTGAGCAGATTTTTAGGAACTGCTGCAAGTTACTGTTGGAAACAAGGCCATTTATTTAAGTGCTAAAKATGGATTTCATAGCCACTGGGAAATAGCCATGTCCTTTATATTGTGTGGATGTGCCTTTTCTTATCTCCTCCCTCCAGTTACTCTCTGACCAGATTGGTTTTCATTTCCCTCACACCCTCTCCTAGAACCTACAGCTTCATGCCAGTCTCAGGTTAATTCCAGCTTGCTGTTTTAAGCCTTCATGGTATGACGAATTTGATGATGCACATATTTTCTTGGTTCTTGTCTCCAGGATTTCCTGTGGGTAGCTTCACTAGCTTCACTCATTTTTGTTTTTTTTTAAGACTCCTTATAGTGAGGTATTTAAAGCTACTGAGAAGTCAAAAATGGATTTCTAGGAAGCCACATAAATCATTCCAACCTATCCTATAGTGATAAGTTACCATATTCTGGCTGATGGGCTGTCTCTCACTCTCAGCATCCCAGGTGTCTCACATATGCCGCAGAAATCACTCAATTAACCTTCAGGCTCTGGCTTCTGTGTATTTACAAAGTCAGCCCGTGTTTTTTTCTATGCTGTGAAGACTTACTGAAGGCTGCTAGCAAGCACAGGACGTGTCTCTGAGAGGATAGTAAAGGTTTACTACCTGGTTGTGAAGTGCATTTCATGACTGGTTCTCACCATTCACCTAAGCTGACAAAGCTCCTTTAGTAGCACTTTRTCACCTTTCTAGGAAACACTTCAGTATTTTTATTTCTTCCCAGAGCTGCTTTTGTAGGGAAATATTCTGTAGATGTAAAGATGTTGCTCTTAGTGACATAGGCTGATGTCTTACTGGAGAGCCTGTTGATTCACTCTGAAGAGCCTACATGGAAATACTAAGTTTTGTGGCTTTTTGTGTAAGAAAATGAGCACTCTCTTAGTAGTTGGCTTCTTTTCTTAAAATCCTCATTCATCAGGGCTAGCAGCTCTTGGCCAATAAGAAGATTGACCTACAGAGATTCATGCTTTACCTCTTAGATGTCTGTGTAAGGTGTATATATGGAGGAGAATATCCTGGGTCATATGTCTGGAAAAAAAATTTTTGTGCCAGTAGTGAACCCAATGGATGAAATGGGGAAAAGAGCAGGATCTCTGTTGGCTACCTAATGTCATTTAACCATGTGATTCTATGTGCTAAATCACGTGTTTTCATAGGTGCATCTTTCCTAYATTAAGTTTCCTTTGCAGCTGAGAGAATGTTGCAAATTTGCCTTCCAGCTATAATTGTCCAAATGGAAACAACAACCACAACAAAGCCTAACAGAAGCACCTTCTTCTTTGGTCCAAGTCTCCATTAGAAATTTTCYTGTCTTCATTTTTAAGCTCTAGGTGACTTCACATGGAAGCTCACTGATTTTAAAAGCCAGGCTTCTTCATATCAGCAGTTATTTTCAGATGTGGATGTCTGCTACTGCTGTGGATGGAGTTAACAGACAGCCATTAAGTTACTAAATGTGGTTCTTAAAATTTTGGGTGGATGCAATTTAAAGCAGATAGCTTGATCTTGCACATGTTTATAGGACTGCCAGATAGTTTTTATTTCCTAGCAATGATTTTCCTCAACTCAGTTTCATTCTCTGAGTTTGACTCCTTTTTCTTTACTATTTATCTGTTACTGGTTATAATAATTTGCTGTTTTGCAATTCATGGTCTTGATTGTTTGTCTAATCCAAGGCAAATTCTATCAAAAGTGACATCATGAATCATATCCTTTTTTCTGGTAAACCATGGATTATAACTGGATTATAATGAGAAACTGCATACTCACCTTCAAGAGAGCTTTTATTGTGTGAAAACTTGATTTTCATCTCTTGTCTCCCTTACTATTTAGATACTCTGTAGTGCTATTTTTTTATGAACTCTTTTCTTTGTGGATCTATAGTGGATCCTACTAACCCATAGTCTTGAGCGATGAAGCAGCTCAGCCTCTCCAAATTTAAAAGCTTAAACAGAYGATATGTAACTTTCTTCTCCCAGATTTCACAATAGACACAAGATTAACAGTGGGAGCTTGCTTGTCTGAAAGAGGAAATGAGTATCCTGTGTCTTCCAGCAGTRAGGAGGAAAGCAAAAGCATCCTTGGTTCTAAGGAGGATTCTTCTTGCTTTTATGTACAACTCACCTGTGTATCTGCCTATCTTAAAATCAAATACATGTGTACACACAGTCGACACAGCAGTCTTGTTACAGGCATTTTCACAAAGAAACATTGGATTGGAAAGGACCTGAAAGATCATTTAGTTYCAACCACCCTGCTATGATACACCTTCCACTAGACCAGGTTCCTCATGGCTCCTGGCCTTGAACACTTCTAGAGATGGGGCATCCACAACTTCTCTGGGCAACCTCTTCSACTGCCTCATCACTTTCACAGTAAAGAATTTCTTCCATATGTTTAACCTGAATCTCCCTCTTTCAGTGTGTACCCATTCCTCCTTGTCCTGTCACTTCAGTTCCTGTCAGAGACCCTCTCCAGCTTCCCTGCAGGATCCTTCAGATATGGAAGGTGTCTGTGAGATCCCCACACAACCTTCTCTTCTCCAGGCTGARCARCCCCAGCTTTCTCAGCCTGTCCTCAAACGGGAGGATCTCCAGTCCTCTTATCAACTTCATGGCCTCCTCTGGACTTGCTCCAGCAGTTCCMTGTYYCTCT